AAATCACATAGGACATCTAGTTCACATATCTTATGTTATAGGCTTATATTCCTAACAATACATACTGCTGCCTGTTACTCTATTAAACTATATTACACCATCATGCAAATAAATTTTAAAAGATCTGTAGAAGTTGACAGAATAGGTCAAAACTTTTGATTTTCAAGGATAATTGTATCTTTAGATTTGAGGAATTCTTAGTTTATATAAAAATACACATAATCTGTATAAATTAAGTTAAAGAGATGATCAATAACAGCATTGTACTTTTCTGTTTGAATTTAGTCTTATTTCACTGTTCCACAATACTGACAATATTCAGTTGTTTTTAAAATACATAACCCTTTATCATAATAAATTATTAATTACTTTAAGTCAAATAACCAAATGAAATTTAGTATGTTTTTAGTGTCCAGCTAGCTTTCCAACCATAACAATACTGATACCTTTAGTGTAATAGAGGCAATATATAAGGTATAAACCGAGCTTAACTCTTACTACAGAACTGCCACTTGGCCAAAAACTGTTGCTCTCCTAGTTATACACAAAATTTTACTTGCTAAATATATTAAATTATTCAACTTCTGTTCATCTTGAAATAATCTTTATTAATGAATATTAAAGAACCAAGAGGAAACAAATGTTCAACATATATTAATTGTGCTTTTTTGTATACATTCATAATTAATTCACTTTGAGACAAATAACCAAAGATTGAATGTTACAATAATTTTACTATACAACTTAAACAAAACTGATACCCTTAGGTCAATACTATTTACCATCTTCCCTTTGTTTAAATGATCAGTGGTCAGTACTGTATTATATAACAACTATAGTTAATAGAGAGTATAGACATCATGGTCTTTATCTCTATTGTCACGTGACCTGTTTATTAACTATAGTTTTACTATCGTATACAATTCATCATCTTTATTCTTACAATATCTTTCTACTGATTTCTTCTACCTACACTCTTATTTCTTTATCAAATTTTAACACAAAAATACCAAAATGACCAGATTTCAATTTTCTATCTGATGAAATTTCTATAAATTTATTATTTTTACTTGTTGATTTAAACTAGTCTGTTTTATTGTACCTAATCACCATCTTGAATATTGTTGTTAAAAATAATACCACACTTCTCGTTCCCTTTCTCAGTATCGCTTCTCGGCCTTTTGGCTAAGATCAAAGTGTAGTATCTGTTCTTATCAGCTTAATATCTGATACGTCCCCCATCGGGGGACTTCGATATTAAACTGATTTTTGGACTTAGGCAAAGAGTTTGGGGCTTGCTCCACCTTTGCCGCGGGTTGGCCTGGTATTGCAGTACTTCCAGGATTGGTCCACTCCCTCTGGGAGAAAAATTCAAAGATAAAAGAGTTTCCCCATTCCTCAATACAGCATAACACTGCTTTTTGTCTCCTTATGTTCAAATAAATAGAATTGTAATCTTCCGTACATATATTCCCTCAAAATATTGTTCATGATTTAAGTAATCATTATCAAATCAAATTTTAGAATTGTGATGAAATAGTTTTCTGTTTGATATCAGAATTGTTAAAAATTGTGTGATTTTTAGGGGAAAAAACTGATGATAGGTATTATATAAAAGCTTTGACTATTTTAGCCCTTTATATTTAGTGCTAAATTTTGCACAATTTTTGTTTTCAGACTTCAAGAGAGATTTATTCAACCATTTAGTGTAGGTGGACCATGTCCTCCAGTCAGCTTTCCTGGAAATCAGGAATTTTTTAAAGAATTTATTGTTGCTGCTTCCAGTCCTGTATTGAATCAACATTTATCTAATATATTTACTGGTAAAATTAAAAAGGTTTGTATGTTAATTTCAATACTAAGAATAAATGGTTATTCGTCAATTTTTTTATTTATATTTTTTGTATTTCATTCTGCCTGATGATTAATTGATGATAGGCATCACGTCTGTGTATGAATATTCATCTCTATGTATTTCAACATACTGTTTCATGAAATTATTCTGTTTTGCAGTTAAACAGTACAGAATTTAGTCAAAATCCCTCAGAAGAAAATCAAGAATCAGAAGGCATAAATCAGGTATTTCTTCTTTCTAAAAAAGCTGTTTATTTCCTTTTAATTACACATAAAATCAAACATTATATAATTAAAAGATATTGTAGTTCAGAACATCCTTAAATACCTTTTGTATGATAAAACTTCTAAATTTAAACATTATTTGAATTAAAAATTTAAACATCATTACTATTCAGTTGTTAAGTGTGAGTAGTATATGTCTTTTCGGATATGACGCATTTCACTTCTGCGCATGCGCAGCTTTTTCAACGCGTCATATCCGAAAAGACACAACTGTTAAAATGTATTATAACACACTCCCCAAACTGTTAAAAATGTATTATAACAGACTCCCCAAACTGTATTATAACAAACTCCATATAAATTACCCAAACCACAGACAAGAATCACTAATAATAATACAGTAAAAAATATCCGCATTAAAAATGTCTTTAATTTTAAAACACGAACAAAAAAAATTCGAAGGAGACGGTTTCTTCTCTGCGCTAACATCTCTCATCCCCAAAGTGGCCAATTTTGTCTCAAACAACAAATCCCTCATTTCCTCAGAAGCACAAGCTCTTGGATCTGTGGCAAAAGCAGGAGTAAATATAAGCGATGCAGTGAAAAAATCTGACGAACTTAAAGAACTGCAGCTAATAAGAGAACTAAGAAACAAGAGACTAGAATGACAAGCCCTAGAAAAACAAGGAAAAGGGTTTAAAATCATTGGATAAAAATGGCAAGCAAAAATTACAGATTGGATCCAATCTTTCAATTGTATGATCCGATTCAATATTCGTTCAACAAGAAGAAAGAGGATTACGTAATCATCTCACCATCGGTAGGGACAAAGACCCAAATAAACG